AAGTTGTTTTACTTACTGGTAATTTTGATTATCAATAAAATTAATTTTAAAAAAAGAAAAAAAAAAAAAAAAAAGTATATTAAGGAAAAGGAACTGATCATTTGTATAACATGATCCTAACAGGTTAAACAATATAACACCTGAAAGTCAACCATTAAATTTAGCAAAATGATTACTCCTATTTTTTTGCTTTTTAAAAGTTGTTTTACTTACTGGTAATTTTGATTATCAGTAACGCTGTCAAGAGCAGTTGTGGTAGCCAATGGGTCAGTGGGTGCAAATGTCTGGTTGGAGTTGGGTTCAATAGAGAATCAAAAAAAATTCCTGGAAGTTCTTCTAGGAATAGCACAGTGGTTGCTGGGAAAGGGACTAGAAAAACAAATTGTATGAGTTGTTTCCAAGGCAAGGTAAATGCTGGCATCAAGAACCGCAAAAGATGTGCATATCTGTGATCCCAGCGCTCTGTGAGGTTGAGGAGGGAGGACCCGAGGTTCAAGGCCAAAATGGGCAGTCTAGCGACTTAGCGGGACCCTATCTCAAAATGAAAACGATCTGGGGATGTGAAGGTCTTGGGGTTCAATCCTCTGGATAGGTGTGTGTGTAGGGGGAGGGGTGCTGGTTGGGAGAGAGGCTTTAGAAATCAGATATCTAGTAAGTATCCAGAGGACTCAAAGTTCCTCAAGCAAGCAGAATGAGTTTATTCCCTCTATCATTACCCTCATTATCTACTACTGAGGGACGCAGGGGAACAGGCTGGGCTACATTCCACAGAATTTGGGAGGAGTCTTCCCTGAAATTAGTTTCCCTGAGAAGAGACAGAACCGCAGAGGGAAACAGTCTTCTTGTGACCACGCCCCCTGGAGAGATTAAGAAAGGGATGGATTTGGGAGCACAGCGCCCCAGTCGCGGGGAAATCCAACCCGGCCTCATGGTCCAAACTGGGAGTCTTGGTCTCAGAGGCAGCACTGAGGGCGGTTCAGAGGCCCCAGACTGAAGGACAGAATCTCCCGCCCAGAAGGAAATCTAGCAGCACTAAAGCAAAGTACAAGAAAGAAAAGCGAAGGTCGCTGGAGAGCGGGAACTGGCCAGCCAATCAATCTTCGGTAGAATGCCCAGCCTAGAAGAGGGGCGGGGCTCGGGGCGTGGTATCGCTCACCTCCGCTGTGCGCCTGCGCGTCTGAGTCCCCCCCCCCGCCATCGCGTTTAGTCCCGCGCTCAGGTGCCCTGTGCAGGTGCTGGGTTTCTGCTGCTTCCCGGCCAGCGCGTGGCTATGAGATTTGCCAGCCCAACCTGGTAGAAATGGAGCTCAAGGAGAGCGCCGGGCGGGATCGACGTCTCTGGTCCCACACAATCCCCCGAGAGACCAGTTTATTCAGGTCTTTCACGCGGAAGTCAGGAGCAGAGAGGATGAAGGTGCGCGCTCCGGAGCATTCTCAGGAGTGCGTTCCAGTGACTGCAGTCCTACCTGTGTGTCTCTGTCGGGGTGGTGCAGGAACAAGCCAGGGAAACATTTGGGGACTGTTCTGCTTAGTTGTGTTAACCACTGCTGTTTTTGTAATAGGTTTGTGGCTTCCTTGGACTTCTTGGGGCTTGGGTGCTGCCTCTATAAAGGGTCCCATGGAGACTCCTTCTGACCACCAAGAGCCCACTTAGCGGCGCGGCTGCTGATGCAGGGCTTCTGTCATAAAGGCTGGAGCCTTACCTGCGCGTCCTGCATGTCCGATGACAGTGGCATACTAGCTATGAACCTGCCTGCAGTCGGAGTCTCTGGCCTTGGCACCTTCTAGCTGTGTGGCTGAGGTTTTCTCCTGGAGAAATAGGAATAATACACAGAAACTTGAGGTAGAGTTACTGTGGTTTGTTCAACAAATAATAATATGCAATGTCCAGTCAACTGTTTAAAGTTCACTGAAGAGATAACTTTTTAGTACAAATGTATGCCAAATATTATTTGATATTTATTTATTTATTTATGTATTTATTTATTTATTTTGCAGAGCCGAGGATTGAATTCAAGCCCTTGTACTTGCCAGGCAAGCACTTATTCCACTGAGCCATCTCCCCGGCCCCCCCAAATATTATTTGAAATTCAAATGTAACTTTTCTCTGCCAGCCCTGCTTTAGAGTATTGTTAGGAAACAGTGCATGAACAAGTCTCTAGAAGAATGCCTGACAGGGGGCTGGTGAGATGGCTCAGTGGTCTAAAGCACCTACTTAGAACAAGCTTGGCAAAGCACAGGGACTTCGGTTCAATCCCCCAGCACCACATGCCAGCCAGCCCCGCCCCCTGGTGGGCTGAGCTGGCCACACACACACACACACACACACACACACAAATAAATAAAAAAATAAATAAAAAAAAAATAAAAAGAATGCCTGACACATGTAAATACACAATAAACATTCTAGTGAAAGATCCAGGCTGGGCATGGTGGGGCATGTCTGTAACCCCAGGACTCTGGAGGCTGCAGCAGGAGGAGGATTGTTGAGCTTGAGATCAGCTTGGGCTACATAGTCCAAGGTCAGCCTGAACTCCGTAGTGAAAGTGACCCCCCTCTACTCCCCTGCCCCTGAAAAAAGGGGCCATCCCCCATCTCGCTGAGGTCCTTCAGTATATTGATGTCCTTCTTATCACAACACGCTAGATTCCACATGCTAGATTCCCCATGCTTCCCAGCAGTTGGCAGTTTACGTAGGAACTTTTGAGGTTCTTGGTAAGGTTGGTGCTCTCTCCAGACGAGTATGTGTTTTGTCCTTTTTTTTTTTTTTTCCAGTGGAACCGGGGATTGAACTCAGGTCCTTGTGCTTGCCAGGGAAGCACTTATTCCACTGAGCCATCTCCCCAGCCCGAAGTGTGTGGTTTGAGGAGGGGAATGGAGGAGTCTGATGCATTATGATGGAGCCAGTGACACAGTTGCTCTGGGAAGTTGTAACTAGAGTTGGTCTCTTCGAGAGGTTGGTATGTGATCTGTGGGTGAGGAAGGGAGGTGAGTTAGAAACAAATGGAAAGTGAATGGGGAAACCTATGATACTAAATGTTAGTAAGAGGTTTTCCCAGTAAGTGTAGTGAGTGGCTTAGCCTCCTTGAGCTCATTAAAGCATCTGCCATATAAGAATGGGCAGTCTAAAAAGTACAAAGGGGAAAAAAAGGAGATAGTGAGATGACAAGCTATGATTACAAAAGTAAGTTGTGTGGCTTGACTTGTTTCTTTTTTAAATTTAATTTTTATGTATTTGGCACAGGGTCTCACCACACAGGTCAGACTCAAAGTGATCCTCCTGTTTCAGCCTCCCCAGTGCTGGTATTAGGCATGACCCACCACGTCTGGTCTTGGTGGCTGGATTGGTATGCCAGAAACAGGGCCAGTGCAGTGCTGGGGATTGAACCTGGGTGCCTGTGCTTGCCAGGCAGGTGCTTAGGCCTCTGAGCTATCTCCCTGGCCCATAATTTTTATTTTTTAAAAGAGAGTACAAAATAGGGCTGGGGAGATAGCTCAGTAGTTTAAGCACCTGCCTGGCAAGCTCAAGATCCTGAGTTTGATCCCCAGTACCAAACACACACACACACACACACACACACACACACACACGCAAATAAAGTACAAAATAGTATTAAAACAGGAAAATTACAAATGGTGCAGAATTTCACTAAACAAAATAACATGAATTTCACAGTATTTGTTGTATTGCAAAGCATCGTCTTCAAATTAGTCATTCATATTATCAGATATATGTATTCAAAATTTGAAGAAGAAAAAAGAAAGAATATATAAGAAATTAAGAGAAAAGGGTATTGACTTGTTTCTGTTTCATCTCTTATTCTCAATTTTATCATGGCCCTTGGGAGTAATAGCATCCTAAATTGATACTGTGGGCAAGTGCTTATTCTACTGAGCCATCTCCCCGGGCCCTTGGCTTTCATTTTGAACTCAATGAAATGCTTTCTTAGCCTAGGATTTAGACCAAAGTGTCTGGCATCTCCTATTTTCCCAGCCAGAGCTCCTAGTCTTGAATTACCAGAGGAAACATTAGGGAGTCCCTGAGACTGTGAGATCTAATCTAATTTTTCTTCACATCAGCCTCTTCTGTATTTTCTCTCTTTTTGCTGAGTTCTTCATTTAAAAATATTTGGTTTTCTAATTTAAAAAAATCCTTCTTTGCATAGCAGAGTAATTTGGTTTTCTCATGCATGTCCTACAGAATTATAAGCAAGATTCTGGAAAACTTAAACTTTATGGTAGAAAATGAAATAAGGTGCTGACTCCTGCTAGATGGAAAAGAAATGCTTAGAATTATGGAACTCTAGGAATAGGAATCATGAGGTAGGGCCTCTGTAGCACACTAGAGCCAGCTGATGTTTCCAATAAGTAAAAAAAAAAAATTAGCATAAGCATCTAGGAAATTTTTTGCAAATTAACGAATTACAGTAGTCTCATGTCTCTTGAACTTCATAATACAAACCTACAGTTAAAAGTCTTTATTCGATTCCATATCCTTTTGTACCGCTCTCCTTTACTTTCTCTCTTCTCCTTTCCCTTCTCCTTCTCATCTCCAAGCTTTGAAGTAGTCTGGAGTTTATCTTTTGTTTACTGCTCAGTTCTTGCCTGCTTTCTACTGTGATACTCTCTTACTAAGGACCCTACTACCATTTGCCAGTTCCTTTTTTTTGGTTTCCTTTTAGTTGACCTATTTGTTCGTTGCCTGGTCTTAGAACTTTCTGTCTCTGTAGTTGCTCCTTCTGAGTATGTTTCCTCATAGTTAAATTGGTTATTGGGCCTCCTCCTGCTGCATACCCTCCTTTGGGCATCTTCCTCCTGGTACATGGCTTCAGCTGTCCCTTTAGGTGGGCCATTTCCATGCATTTATTTCCAACCTCAACCTTTTTCCTGATCTCTAGACCCACCTATCCAGTTGCATTCATTCAAATATCCCATAGTCATTTAAGTATATTTCAAACTGATCTTGTCTCCCTCATACCTCTTCTTACTTTAACTTTAGTCTTCTGGAATTCATGGAATTCCATTCAGAAGCTTTCCCAGAAACCCAAGGACAATTCCAGATGTTTCTTTCCTGACTTCGAAGACAAAGTTCTTCTCCAGGGTTATTTCACCCACTAAATTCTTTTTGTGTATAAGAGTTGGGAGGGGTACTGGAGACTGAACCCAGGGGCTTATGCATGCTAGGCAAGAGCTGCATCCCCAGTCTTTTTAAGTTTTGGGAACAAGATTTTTGCTAAGTTGCCCAGGCTGGCCTTGAACTTATGATCTTCCTGTCTCAGCCTCCCAAGTAGCTAGAATTACATATATATGCCTCTATGCCTGGCTATCTTTTCTAGAATTTCATATAAGTGGAATCATATTGTATGTTCTCTTTTATGTCTTTCTTGTAATCTGTTTTTTTTTTTTTTTTTTTTTTTTTTTTTTTTTCGGAACCAAGGATTGAACTCAGGCCCTTGTGCTTGCCAGGCAAGCACTTATTCTACTGAACCATCTCCCTGCCCCCCTACTCTGTTTTAGAGGTTCATTTGTGTTATATCAGTAGCTCATTTTCACTCTTTTTAAAATTTAATTTAACTTTTTTCTCACTATGCAGTTCAGAATCTAGTGATTCTCCTGTCTCAGCCTCCATAGTGCTGGAATTACTGGTGTGCACCACCACTCCAGGTTCCAGGGCTGGCATGGTGCACCCAGAGTTCTGGGACTGGCCTGGCCTGCAGTACTTGGGGATCAAACTCTGGACCTTGCACTTGCCAGGCAGGCACTTATGCCACCAAGCTATCTCCCCAGCCCCTCATTTTTACTCATCTCTTTTTTTGGTGTTAGTGCTGGGCATCAAATCCAGAGCTTTTGCACAAAACTACATCTCAGAACATTTTTTTTTTTTTTTTTGAGATAGAGTCTTGGTAAGAGGTCCAAGTTGAGCTCAAACTTTTAGCTTTTTGCCTTAGCTTCCTAGCATGCTGAGAATACA